GCGCGTACGTGTGCGGGCCGCGTTGTGTGTGTGCGTGGCCAAATCCTTTAGTGGCTCCGGTTTGGTTCTCTTTCTCTCTCTCTCTCTCTCTCTCTCTCTCTCTCTCTCTCTCTCTCTCTCTCTCTCTCTCTCTCCCGTCCCGGTTCTCTCTCCCTTACTCTCCCTCTTTCTCTTTCGCGCGCGCGCGTGTATGTGTGTCAGACACAAGGGTGCAACACATACATACATACACACATACAAACGTTGCACTTGCGTCACCGAGTTTGACCGGCCTGCACGTATGCGCTCGCGTTCGCGCTCGCGCGCTCGAATTGCGCCCGTGTGCGTGCGCGCGTACACGTGAGTCTGGGATTAATCCGGGATTATTGGTCGTGTGTGCGCCGCCCGCCGTCCAAATCCAAAATCCAACGCACACAACTCAGCTAATCCTAACCCACCCCCTTTTCACCCTCTCTCGCCTGCACCTCGTCGCCCTCACCTCGCTTCCCTCACTCTAGCGGCGTATCCTATGTGTTCTCCACCGACAGTTCGGAGCGTTGTCTACAGGGTGTGTCTGAAAATTCGCCAGCGTCCTATTTTTGCAGTCTATCCGCTTAAAAGCGCCGATTTTCGAGCGCATCGTCGATCGACACTAAAGTCTATATTGACACTCATCACGGATCTTTTTGAATCTACCGATCAATTTCGCCCTTTGGTAGAAATGATAAAATCGATCTTCGTTAAATTGTCAGCGGGATATAAATTTGGGTCAGAATTTGAAGATGTCCAATCGAGCGACGATACAATTTCGTCAAATTTTTATAAAAGTTTTATTACGTCGATCAATATTGTCCATATTTTGCACCGCATTGTTTAAAAACGAATATTTGCGATATGCATTTATTTATTTATAGAGAATGAAATTGTGCCAAAAAGGTTTTCGAACACTGGCTTTAGAGAGACCAAAATTACAAGATTATAAAACATCAGGCTAAAAATGGACATATTCGCAACGTTTGCGCGGGACATGTCTATTGTCTAAGACGCCGATGACATCACGGATAATGCGCGACAGAGACCATCGAAGAGATTTAAGTGATTTTTAAGTGGGGCTTCAAGCTTCGTTGCGCCCGCAATTACATTATAATCTTCATTATTCAGACCGCGTCACGACAAATAGTTAACGAAATGATGAACCGTTATATTAATACGAATTGTAGAAAATATCTACATTTTAAATCATATTTTAATCAATATTTATGTTTTCGAATATGAGCGAAAGCTTGTCTCGAGATTGAATATTTATTAAAACAGCATCTTCGCTTAAAATTATTAATTGTGAGAAAAATTCTACGACACATTGAAACATTCTATATATCCTAGGAAAGTAGGAATCAAAAAAATTTTAATGAAATTATAAGATACATTTTGTAATTCCAAAATTTGAGTGCAGCGTGAATAATGTTTTACGGATATTACACAAGAAACTGCTTTACTTTGTCGACAGCCTTTGCATCGGTAACAGTAAGATTTTGTAATGTCTCGTAAGGGCTTGCTCGGTAAGCTAAATGTAGGGCAGAACACGAATGTAAGAACGGAGGGAACAAAGACGTATATATACGCACACGCACTTCTGTATACATGTGAGAAATATCCATTCGCAATATGGTCCACGATTGCTCTCCGCGAGTTATGATATCGATTTTGCCTTTGGCTTAACGCGTGGTCAGGTTGAAAGCTAGAATGTATACAGGGCGGCTGTAAGAGAATCATTCCTGAATCGCGAGAGAAATGAGGGAAGATTTAGCAGTTTTTTATACTGCAATCCGTATGCACACTATATTATTATAGCATACACAATTTGCTTAATTGACACATTTACGCTATTCGCTAAAGAGCTTCCTTGGTGTTCCTGTTTTTTTTTCTTTGCCATTTCTATATTCCGCTAAATATTAAATACATTATAATTTCACTGCACAGGTGTTTTCGTAAACAAAATGTATCTCTAAGCCTTCGTAATCAAACGCGCCTTCGTGTTGAAATATTCCCCCGTAATTTGTAAATTTACTTCGCTCCGTAAAAAATATATGAATTCGTTAAATATTATCTCACTCATTATTACGTTATTTATACTTCGCAATGCCCCGGTTATTTGTGAATAATAGAACGACTTCCGAAAATTAAAACAAGCTAAAACTGCACAAATGAGGTTTTTCAATCTGTAAAATCGTTGCGGGCGCAACGAAGGGTAGTTACGAATTAAGCTACGCGCTAAATTTATACGAAGCCTCCAGTTGTTTTTGAGTTTGCAGTACGTCAAATGCTCTGTAAGTCTTTCCCGTCCGAGTATATTTTCTGATCGGGTTTTGCGTCGCGCAAGTTTGGGAGGGAGGGGAGGGATTACTAAATCAAAACTTTTATGTTTCGGGAGCTTTATCGCGCTCTGTCGGCTGACGAGGTCGCTAAATGGTAGGAATTCAAAGGCGGCTCTCGCCACAAAAGGTGCTCGGTCTCGCGGGAGGGAGTATCGCGTAGGGTTAAATGGCGTAACGAGCCCGATCGTATGGCGCAAGACGCCATGGTGGATGTTCGCAGGTCGCCTAGCCGCATAGCCAGGGATTCGAATTTAATCCGGATTAGTTCGTAAGGGTCACAATATCCTCCCCTCTGGCTGCACCTCGTCGCCGTCCGCCCCATCGTCCCGTGCACACGGATGCGCGCATATAGACGTCCAGGTAAATCCGTACGGAACACACGCGGACGATTATCCTAATTCCGAGCTGACGCTTACGGCTCGCGGACTAAAAGGGGACAAACGATCTCGTCTTTCCAGCTCATCTTTGATGCATGCCGACGCGAAATCATTTCTTGATTAAAAAAAAAAGCGATGACACCTCTTCTACTTTTGGATGTATCTGTTTCCTATAGCTTCTTGTACAAAAGACTTTTGATAAAATGAAGAAATTAACATAATTATAATCATTACAGATTGCATTCTGTTTATGCGACTATATAGTTTTCAAAGTTTAACGTCATTAAATAAAAAAAATTATATCAAAGATTTAACAGACCGTCGCTTATTTGCGCCAATGTTACCTCTCTCCAATAAATCTCGTTGCACGTTTTATCGTCTCAGTTAAAAATAAGTGGGTCGCGCTTTCGAAAATTCGAAAAATTTAAAAAAGTCTAGCCTGGATTAAGAGAAGGTGAAGATAAGAACTGAGAGAAAGGCAGAAAAACGATCATGGGCATGGGAGAGGGGAAGGATTAACTGTGACGCACGGAGATTTAAGGAGGATCCTCGAAATCCGTAGATTTAGGAAGTGCGTGCTTCTGTCCACCCGCATCCCCCATCGCATCACGCCACCCTTTTCTCCTCGCCTGCTAGGTCGGGGACTGGAAAAGCAAATATGTACTCTAGCTCCCTGCATTCCTGCACGCCTTCGAAATGCCGAACTACAGAATATCCTTCTCCCTGCCTCTCTCTTAAGAACACTTAAACCAATTTCTCCGTAGAAGTTAGCCGGGGAAAAGAATCGCAGGAGGACACAATTTGACAACTTAATATGATATACGATGCAATTTCTTTCCTCCCTTTCTTAGATCCTTTTTCGTAGCGTTAAGAGAACCGAACAACGGATGACAGTAGAAAAAGCAAGCCTTGCAACGATATAAGTGATAGATTGGGAAGTATTTAATTATGAACGCCCGTTCGATTTTGTATACGTAAAAAGATTGGTTTTCTCCGCTCTACAATAATCTTTGTCTATGTTCTGCGGAAAGTATCGTCTACAAATTTTAGCGTCAATTAAAATTAGAATGCCAAGCGTCACGACATCTCCGTTTAATATATAGCATTTAATTCTCACTGCAAACGGGCGCGTGCAAATTGTTTCCACCGCATTATCGAGGATCAAGGAAATTCCGCCGATAGTCTATCTCGTTTACGAGCTTTAACGACCCCTCTCGCGCGACCTCCGTCGGCGTACGCACGTCTTCGTCATTCTCAGCGGAAGCGGACTTTATGACGCGACATGGCAACTGAGTTTCTGGATTGTCGCCAATGAAATTGGAGCATTTCAAGCTCTTTGTATTCGTAATATTATGGGGCAATAATCTTTTGCAATAGATAGATAAATGATGACAGTACCACAACAGCTAGCATTATCTTTAGATTACGAAATTTGTAATACCATAAGTAGAGTTGTATTACTCTTTGTTTCCTTTTTATAAATGAATATTATTAAGCTGGACAAACATAATATTATGTGTATAATCTTAAAGTGAAGTAAAAAGGGAAAAAAATTAAAATCGAAATTATAAAATTATTTAAACTTTAAATGTATCGTTTTTTTCCTCTTTACTCTCTTATTTATTACACAAGAGCTATATCGGCCTTCGCCGGACGTGAGACGGTGACGGCGATTAACGGCCGCTTCCGTTCGGCAGAGTGCATTAATGGACGTGACATCGGTGCATCGTTACCGCATTTTCCTTGCCGCCGCGTCGCACGCGTTATCCCAACCGAGTTACGCGTTGTAAAGACGTTCAATCTGTTTTCGCACGATCCGGTCTCTCGTAAAAGGTGACTCAATTCGCCCCGGCTAATCGACGATTTACGGCCGCGGGAACCCCCCTGCGCAAGCCGCCACACCCTGAGATGCAACCCGAGGTAATGGGGTGTATATGCACTCGTAGGGACAAGATGGGAAGGAAACGGGACGAACGTATTTCATTAGACGAGACTTCAAATATGTTCATATCAAATTGGCGACCGTATAGCATTTCTTCATTGTATTATTTTGCACAATATTCTTGAATTATCATAAAAATTATTTAAAATAAAATAATTGTAATGAAAGTTCCATCAAACCTTACTCTTCAAATTTCGTCAAAATAAAATGTTGATAACATTGATATACCAATTGCTTATACGCTCTCTTTCTCTAATCTTAATGGGTAATTAATAAATCATTTACATAAAAAGCACGAATAATGAAATATAAAAAAAAAATACTTACCTGTACTGGAGGCGGATTTGCTGAGATCGAAGCCCTCCTGCTTGGGACTGGCGTTGATTTCTTGCTTTGGGTGCTGGTTGTGCGCGGTGAACGGTGTCTGGGGTGTCTGCGATTGCAGCGGGTGCACCGGCGGGTGCTGAGACGCGTTCTGCGGCTGAGACTGCTGGGACTGGTGAGACTGGGGGCTCCTCGGTAACGAGGACACGCTGCTCGGTCTCGATGGTGGCGAGGCCTTGTGCGTCAATGCCAACGCTTGGCTCTGCAATCGCGAGAGAGTATTAATCTTTGAAAAATTTATTTTAAACAATAGATACAATTTTTCGGCGCACTGGATGATATTGACTATTTAGAGCCACTATCGTACGCATAACTAAAATGCGGCACATCTATTGCGTCCAAAAAGGAGAAATAGGGGAAAGTGATCTCATCTATTTAAAAGAATTAAGAATATTATATAGAGAAATTCGATAAGCTCTACGTTATAAAATGTAAGAATCTTTTTATGTACCGAGAGGACGCGAAAGAAAGTTTAATACCGGGAAGCATGATTTGTACATTTTTACGCTTATTACTCAGGCAACAAGTTCTTCCCCCGGCTCCTGCATTGTCCCCGGCAAAGTTTCACAGCGAAAATATTTTCTGCGTACAAGAGCACGTTATGTAAATTATTGTGATGTTTATTTCATCGCTCGTTTATGCATAATCCAGCGAGAGTGCGGTAATCGCCGCGGGGTAATATAAATCCTTCGCTGTCCTTAATCTTCGAAGACAAAATTCCCCTGGCATATCATGCTTCTAACGGTCGCGTGACTTTTTTACAGGGGCGATTACTATATAAAAGTTTTCTGCAGACGTGTAGCTTCTATACTAATCTTCAAAATATAAAAAGTATTATCGTAAATAATTGTTATATGCATATCTCAATTTTCCATATCTTCTTAATTTTTATAGGTTCCAAATTTTTTAAACAGATTTCTACGATAATAATATATTACGGGAATTAAATATGACGTTTTATTTTCATCAAGATCGCACCATCGATCGCGATAACCGATCTACCATAGAATCGGCTTCTGAAAAGAAAAAAGAGATAACTCGCGCGCGAATTAACTATGCGCGATTGGAGGCAATCTAGCGATTAAAAAAGCCTTCGGCGGCAATTCACGGTGGGAGCGTCGCCTAAACGCGGTCAAATCTACGACGTTTCGGTCGGGCCGAGCGAGCCGGATGATCTAAGCGTCGTCGCCGATGAAATCTGAGCACGTGCTCAATTCCGAGCGGCGGCCAGGCTAAGGCATAAGCGCGGACTTAGATTTATGTATGAGTGAACTGAACTTAACACTAACGGCTAAGCCGTCCACGGTGTCAACTGGGGTCAACTGGGCCCAGAATGCGACAATCCTACACCACCGCCGCAGCAGCCGCTGCCGCTGCCGCGTCGCCGCCGCCGCGCGCCGCGTCGCCGCCGCCGATGTGCGAAATGCACCGCGGAGCGATGATTTTCGTCTGGAAACTGGATCGTCGATGACGCCTCCGTGGAATACGGAGCGTCAAGCGGCAGAACGAGCCGAGATGCAGCGAGGCGGCGTTTAACCCACCGTGATCCTTCGCGGCTTCCCCGCCGCGTTCGTGTTCGCTCGCAATCAGCGATTTTCGCGGCTACTTAGTCTCGTTATTTAATCACGAAATTATAAAATTTAATCAGCCGGCACTCACGCATGCGCCACGAGGCAACCTTGAATAATCGACGACGAGCACCGTATTAATTACTCCGCGAAAATGATAGTTTCGATTATTAATAGATCGCACGAAACTCATCGACGTTTTATATTTTTGTAAATTAATTCTATTAGATCGCGAATCAACTAAGCTTAAGCTTTTTTATTTTTTCTCAATAATGAAAGCTTTGCTCACGTGGCTTTACTCGTGAGAAATATGAAAATATAAAAAAATATATAGATATACATATCATACATATCACCGTATAAATCATAGAATTCAGATTAAAAATAAAAAGAAAATATATCTTCTTGCATCTAGTTTTTAATATTTTTATACGTCGCTTCTCTCATCGATCTAACGATCGGCTGCAAAGGATCGACCGGCGATTTTTTCGCTTGCCCGGACTGTACCGGGGTACCAGCTACTGTTTCGGGAGCTCTTCGAGGTATGCACTCGCAAAAAACACGTCAGACCGCTGAAGACCCGGGCCCGGAACGGGAGTGAGCGAGAAGAAGATGATGAAGAAGAGGAAGGAGGAGGTGGAGAAGGGAAGCGGAGAAGCGGGATGCCTGAAGGTGCCGAACAGAGCGAGAAAGAGAGATAAGGGCCGGCCGGCATCATTGACGAAAGAGAGACGAGCGGGAGCGACGGGCCCCGAGGGTCCACGTGAATTGGAAGAGGACGGCCGTGGGGTCCCCCGGCTTTCCACGCGAGGAATGAAGACGGACGCGAGACCGAAAGCGGGAGCGTGTAAGAAGGGGCAACAGGTGGATGGGGTTAGCGGCTTATCCGGCTAACGCCCCAAGTGATATCGCGGTAACTCTGCTGTGACGTGCGAGGGGTTACGACGATGTTGTCGTAAAATCAGGAATTTCGGTTCGCTCATCGATCCGGCTTTCGCCGCGGTTGAGAATTCGCTTGGCCTCCCGTCGGAATTGGGGAATCGCGTCGGGAAGGCGTTAGGCCGAAGAAATCATCCGGCGCGAGAAACACGGTCCTTCGAAAATTCGCTCGCTCGACAAAAATTGCTTCGTATCAGATATCATTAATTGCGCGGTAATTAATGTGACGAAGTTAACGAAATGGTCCGTAAAAAGCGATTGGCATATTCGGTAAATAGATGAAATTGAAATAAAGAATTAGAAGAGAGTATGCGTGAGAAAAAGTTGTAATTGGCGATAATATTAGTCGCAATAATTGTCGAAAGTATTTTTTCACGTCATGCTATTTATCCAAGTTGTCGCCTCATAAATATTAATGAAAAAGAAGAATTGTTTGAATTGAACAGGAGTAAAAGCGATACACAATAAAATGTTTTAGCGAAACTATATCCGCCGTATACTCGCGAACGTATTGCCGATATACAAAAGACGACGGATGCTGCGGAGACACGTTCAATTTGAGCGAGGCAGCGTGAATTCGCACGAACGTACACTCCTCATCGCGCGCGGACCGTGACGACAGTAAAAAATGGAATGGCAAATATAATTAACCGCGAAGCGCGGAGCGCGATATCGCACCGCGCCACGGACGACGACAGTTCGGCAGGCGTTTATCAACGGATCAGCTTATCTACCGGGTGTAACGGGTGATACGCAGCGACGGCGTTTCCTGCTGGTGTGTTTCCCGTTAATGCGATAACCTTAATCGCTGACCGTGCACAGGATCTATCCGTGGACCTGCCCCTGGGGAGAGTCTGACGGAATTCGACGGAATTGACCGCGACGGAGCGGCGGCAGCGGCGCTCCGGATCGTCCGCAACCAAACGAGCTTACGTAAGGCCGAATCGCGATGACAGTCTTTAATGTTTAGCCAATTGAACGCGTGGTCCTTTTCGGCGTACGTCTTACGTCAGCGGCATCGTTCCTCGTGCGGCCAATTCTACCCGTCGAAACAGAAAAAAAAGAGAGAGAAAGAGAGAAGACTCACGACTCACGCTCTGTCGCCCCTTCGTACGAGGATCCTTCCTTCTCGTCTCGTCTCGTCTCGTCTCGCGATTTCTGTTCTGACGACGTTCGATGCGCGTAAATTATTGGACGCTCGTCTCGCTTGTCTTTATTAATTCTTCGAATGCTGCATTAGCCCCGCGTTCGCGTCATGAAAAATCGCGCTGCGGTCCGAAGCTGTGAACGATACGTCGCGCCACGGCGTTCTCGGAGAATGTGAGATCAGTTTAGGATATGAGTTCATTCCAGTTGCGTTTTAAAGCAGAAATAATCAAAATAACTCAATAACACATAGTTACTGACTCGACATTCTATTAAAGTCTGTCATTCTATGATCAAAAAATTGTAACTTTAATTTCGAAATGAGGAGAGAATTTTTAATTCATTTACCTTCGGGATTTTTTGCGAGTTTCTTATTGATCCAATGAAGATATTTGCTGTGAAAATTATCTAAGGATTTTGACTAGTATTCAACTGTGGGGTCGAAATAAGTTTTTAAAACTACAGGCTATAATAACAGTTTTCTTAAATCCCGTAAAACTTTATAGGAAACTCGTGATAGTGATATAATTCCTTTATAATTATTAAAGACTCCAATTATATATAGAGATAAGCTATATTCTGGAACATGCTTTTATAGAACATTGTAAAGCACTCGCCGACTCCTAATCTCCATCGATATATAATAACGCGCAGCATTGTGTGTACCAATAACAATTCGCAAATCTACTTAACAAAAATTAAAGCGATTCTCTATCTGTTTCAGCGCGCGCGATAATTTTCGCTATCTTTCGGCGGTCATCGCATGAAATGGAATTAAATGTGGCGCGACCCATATTAATCTGCAACATTCTAATCACGCTTATCGAAATATCGAGCCGGCGATATCCCCGAGCGATAATTGGCTGCCTCTTTGTGACAGATAATCCGCGGATTGATGCGTTTGCGATCGCGTTACGTAAATTGTTGCCGACTGTGGTGTCGGATACCTCGTTCCTAAGTGCAAAACATGGTAGAGCTGAAAGATTAGAAAGCAATAGATAGGATCTTGCAATGATCGCCGATTTCGAGGGTTTACTGGAGAAAGTAACAAGAACGCGCAAGTATTTCAAAATTACAGTTTAATTGACCATATATAAAAATTACTCTTTAATATTAACGTCAGAAGAGATTTATAAATATACATTTCAAGTTTAGCGTTAGCGAAGTATTTACGTAATATTAATATTAATAAATCTTAAAATAAAAATACAATGCTTTTTTTTCATAACGATTTAAACTGAATGAAATAATAATAACACAGGATTTCTGAAATATCTCTCTCTCTTTCTTCTAAAAATATATAATTATATTACGCTAATCTTCATGGGATAATTGTTGTTACGCATTCTGATTAAAAAAGAATTAATACGATATAAAAGAACGCGTGCTCTTAATAAAGTTACCCGACACGAAACCGCTCGCTTCGCCGTAACCAATTTTTCCTCACACAAAATATTCACCGAGAAAACAAAAGATCGTGTCTGCGGCATAAAAAGGCAATGTAAAAGGCCTACGGAAAGAGGACCGCGAGCTCTACCTGCGTTTGATATATCGGCTTCGGTGGCCGGATAGATGGATTACAATCATTCTGGGAGCTGGGGTGGTCAAATACCGTGACCATGCGTGTTTCAAACGTATCCTCGTGCACGCACACGTATATACGTACGACGCACTTTCGAGTACACACGTGGCGGCCCGTGCGTGCACGCGGGCAGTCCTGCGTGCAACGCGCTGCAAGGACGCGTTTACAAGTACCAGAATGCAGAAGGTGCGTCGCGGCAGCGCGTGAAAATTTTACATTCGCGAGCTCTTTCTTTCTTTCTCTCTCTCTCTCTCTCTCTCTCTCTCTCTCTCTCTCTCTTCTCGCTAACGTTTTTCTGCTTGTGTTTCATATCGCGAGTCTGCGCGCGGCTCTGTTACGTTTATTAAACGTTTATTACGCGTCGTGGATCTAGATATAATATATCGATAGCGACAGAAAATTTAATTAACTTTGCAACGCCACGCCTATCCCTTTTTTTATTTTTCCCTCGCGTGCGATCATTATGCTCGGCAGTTTCGCGAACGCCACGTCGCTTTGTTGCGGCTGTACAATTGCTGTCATTTACGTACATTAGTTTGCTCCTTAGACGGTGTGATTGAAATTACTACAACGCGAATTATGAAGATTGAATTTAGATTTTTTTTTACACATCCTGTAATCCAAGTCAGTCCTTGCGTTTTCACAAGAACGAACTATGAAATGAGTCTTCGTATGTTAATACCGCAAGCATGTAGGCAGAGCTTCATGTATTTGACAGCATTATGAGATTATCCTCGGTCTTTGACTTCTTTTGTGAAATCTGCACGGATATAATGTATCTCTCGAGATGCTTTTGTATAAATTGAATGAATATCTTCCCTTTTAAAATATTTTATTTATGCTCTATCTATTACGAATAGTATGCATGTGACTCTTCTGACAAAATGGCCCATGCCATATAATTCACGCATGATAAACGGACAATTTTTTTGAAATACATGACATACACTGCGTGTATAATATTCCAACGTAGTATTACTACTCGCATGAAAAGCACATGAGATTTACTAAAAATGTTAGTATTTCTTCGAATATTTCTTGTAACGGTTAAAACGTAAGCAGAACGTGGGATTAATTGTAAAACAGAGCGTATTATATTTTTGCGATAATTTTATTTTAATTTATTTATTACGACAATTTATGTAAACGATTTTTTACGAATGTATACTCGTGACGTTTTTCATCGTTGATTTTTCGATAGCCTGCACGGTGAGCTGAAGGCGGCCATGGATCGAGAGATCGAGCGGTCAATGGAGACATGCGGTCTTATTCCGTTGAATGCCAGAACATGAACATGGTCGTGGCACAGGAAGAAGGCAGGGGCACATCCGTATCGTGGTCAGAACCCGTGACCCCCCGATACGTACATACACGTGTAAACGTACGCGCGTTCGTCCGCACGGCACACACGCGAGCCGCGGCTTTGCCAAGGATTATCCCCCGCCCTGCGTTGCCCTCGGTTTTCATTGTTGAGATCGCGAAGCGTCGGATATGCGCGTCGGATCTGAATTTGGTATATACGCGATTTTTGTTGCGGAGAATCGAGTCTAAATCCGAGCGAGTGCTCCGCGCTGCGCTTAAACGGATAATTATTTCCTTCCCAAGCGATCGCACAGTCCGATAAGTAACGTGTTTTTCTTTTCGATGTTGCATAGATTACGTGAATGTTTACCTAAATGTATATTGCTCTATATTTTTTACTTCAACTCGAAGCAATGCGCGTCTCGAAAGGTGAGATTTCAGGATAAGATTCGCGTGCGCGCGAGAAGACGAACATTTCCATTTTAGTCTGTCGGAATTTTTCGCATTTTCCTACGTAACGTTCCCGATTTATTATTTTCTTAAACAATCGCGCGATGTAGAAACGACGCCTCGTTTACTTATTTTAGATACTGGAATAATCGCGCGTTGAAGTGGCCAGTCAATGGCTTTGAGATGCGAAAGAATGTGCCAAATTGATGACGAAGGAATTAAACGGACTGAAAGCGCGTCCAGAGAGAGAAAGAGAGAGAGAGAGGGGTGCAAGAAGCGATAGGGTGGCCAATTGGCTGTGTAATGTCAGAAAGGGGTTGCTTCTCGCCCCTCGTATACTCGCTGACACAGTGTATAGACGCTGCGTTATTTTTATAAGTTCGGCAGACCGAACGCCGAAAACGATGCTGGCACGCTAATCCACGACGTAAACCGTTTTATCGGAATTTTATATTCCTCGTCAAATTAAGGTCACACGTATTTTCGATGTAGCTGTAATTTTTTTATCTCCCTCTCATATGTTAAAAAAACATGTTTATAATTTTTCGGCGTGAGAAAAAGGATTTTAATCTATCCTAATCGATAAGTTAGTAATTCTACGTAGAATTTACTTCAATTACGCTTTAATTTGCTAATAAAGAGCTCATCATAAAAAAACTAAATTGTGCAAATATAAAATATAATTAATTCAATTTTTTCGCTTTTATATCTGTTATATTTATTGTGAAAAAAAATTCTTTTTTTAAAACTGCATTTCTATAATATTATTCTTTAAAAAATGTAATATTTTTTACACTCTAATAAATTTTTGAAATATTGCTGTTATATATGTACCTATAGATATATATATATATTTTGTTTTTTTATGATTTTATGATGAATTTTTCCAATTTCATTTAAGAAAAGAAATTACGATCGCATGAATAATTGATAATATTTTATATACAACATTTCATTCAGTTTGAAACAAAAAAATGAAAGATTACCTGTACTTGATCCGTCTTCGTGTTAGCAGCCATCCATGCCTCTACAAAGGTGTCCATTGCGCTCTGAAAATCCATTCCCTCCTGGGGCCTCAATAATTCTCCTGGGCCTCGGAAGTCGCCGCCATTCGTGACATATCGCGTTATACTCGAATTCTCACAAACTCATAGCGTTAATTTTAGCCCTGGCACTTAAAATCAATTAAGAGTCGAATACGATCGGAAAGATGCCGACAGGTCTCTAACAATAAGTCAAATGTCAGTTTTTCTTGCCTTCTAAACGTCACTTCGCGCACCCGTGCATACGATAAATATTGATCGCGTGAATGACATAAAACTTATTTACGATCGAAATCACAGACGTATTGAGAGACGTGCATGAAATGTACGTTTGATTTACGTAGGTGGTTCTTACTATTACGAGTCCTTAATTTCTAGCTACTGTATGCTAACGATTAACACGTGGGTGATCATTTTTTTCTTATACGACTTACACACCTACAATCACTACAATCTGCTCTAAGTTCTATCTTGGTTAGGTTAAGTTGAAATATTAAATATGCGATTAAACTGCGCGTACCTCTGACTAGACTGCGGAAAATCACACACGTGCCCGCAACTCATTACGATAAGTATCGTCCCGGAGTAAAATCGGAGTAAATAGAGCGATCTACAGTCTCGTCCCGCTTCCCGATCACCAATCGGCACGTCCGTTCGTTCAGAACGTCACGTACACAATGCCGATCGAAGTCTTTCAATTTTATCGATCACAACATCAGTCAACGTCGCCGGTCGTTTCCCTGAGAAGGCCGCGAGGTTTTCGCACTGTTTTTCGGCGCGCGTCGGTCGTCACCAGTCATCAGACACCGAACATGTGCGTGGCTCTGCGTGGTCCGAAAACTCAGACTCGAAATCGATCCCTTCGGACGCTTTTTCTCTCGTCGGGGAGCCTCTTCGGAGCGGCTCGAGATCACGATCACGTTTTATTTCACGTCATCGTCTCATCTCTCTCTCGTCTCTTCCCGAGCGTATCTCTGAAAATCGCGTGCGATCGCCGAGCACCAACGGAATGTCATTCGCGCCGCCGGGGACGAGCGCACGGTCCGCGAGGACAGCACACGTTCGCAGGGAACGGCGTTCGAGCCGCGACTGTGCGCGTCGAGGCGTCGCGGCGCTCGATCTGCTGCCCCTACGACGCCCTACCCGCGAGCGCGCCGTCAGTATCAACCCCACCACCCGGTCCGTATCGCCGTTGCCACCACCACCACCGCCACCACCACCACCACCATCACCGTCACCACCACCTCCATCGCCCACCGCGATACCGTCGTCTCACGTCTACCGATATCGCGGCCGAGTGCCTCCTCTGGTCCTCACTCGGCTGCTGGTTCACCCTCTCGCTCGCCGACTCCTCCGGAACCCACCTTCGTCGTACCCCGCAGCCGGAGAATCCCGCCGTCTCGTTCCCGCGCTCCCTCTTATCCTCCCCCGATTTCGCTACGAAGCTTCCTCGCTCCGGATAAGGCGTCGTCCCTCTCGCGCTTTACCGCCTCCTGCTCCGTCGTCTTTGTTCGTCGCGTTAATTTCTTAGTTTCTTTCCGATCACAAATTCTTATCTGTTTCCACGCCATTAGTCGCGTTAATATTATACAATCGTAATGCGCCTTTAACTGATTACAAATTATATCTATTAAAATCCAAGAGTACAAATTTCCTTGAAATCTATGAAAATTTTCTTATTTTTTGGAGTCTTTTTTCACGCCTGTAATCTTTGTAGTTGTTTATTTAAATTAGATTTGTTTCTCATATTTTTCCTGTCATTAATCCTACCATTTTCTATCTTATTCTTCACATTTCTATCTATTTGTCAGAACATTTTCTCTTTCATAAACTACTGATTTTCTCTCTCTAGTCCAATTTCTTGCTCATATTCATACTTCTTCCTTGCGCCATGAAAAATCCGTTCTCTCATCCCATCCCATCCACCCATCTCGTCCTCTTTTTTTCGTAATCTTTCTCCATCGAATTCGATTCTCACCCGCCCTCTTCTCTGCATCGGCATCCCCACCGAAGGAATCCGTTCCGGGGGTGTGTCTAAAGATAATATGCACGTACACCTGTCCACCTTGCAACACACGTTCCTAGAGAGACTCGCGATGACCGAGCTTAAATGCGGAAGAGGCATGAAGCGATATCTATGTCACCACATCGATTTTTTCGTGGTCGCAATTGCGAGGCATTAGAACAAGTTTTTGTATTCACGAGACTTTATATAAAACGAGCTTGCGAACGAGCTTCATATATTTAGTTTTATATTAAGAAACTTTTTACTTTGTATTATTGAAACTTAAAATATTAACTGTACGTTGAATGAGAAGATGCTGAATAATAATCTTCAAGTATTAATTACTTTATTTAGTGGCTTAATATATCATTTGTGTGCGACAGATTATTTTCAAGTAAAATATTAAAATTGTATCAAGCATCAAATTTTCTTAATATACTTTTCATAGGTATTATTTTATATGTTTTCGGTAACGTGTGAGTATGAAATATTTTGCATAATGTAAAAATGTTACATATGTAAAAGTAACTGGAGATACGCAGTAATAAATAATTAAATATGACGTTTGAACAGATCGATTTAATTCCATGAGATAAGAAGCGACAGATGCGTATTCGGATTAGAAATTGATTCGATAGAATCATTCTTCGACCTTCGACACTAAAAAGCAATCAAGATCCGATACATCGAAATCTCATCCATTGATAAGGAAGCAGATTAATACGCTAAGAAACTTATATCTCCTCATTATCTGTCGGGCCAAAAATACGATTTGTAATTCGAGTGACTTTGTATCAACTTGAAAGAACAATGTTAATCAGAAATAAAATCTAATAAGAAAGTAACACGTTAAATAAGAATGTAAGACAAACTTAAAAGATACATCAGAGAGTTCACGAATATACATCCATTAGCAATGATTTTAAAAAAATTCTAAACTTCAACATTTCGTAAATGAAAACTTTTTTTTTCTTTTGCCTTATCTGATTAATCGGCGAAAATGATCTTAGATCAAGGTGGTACTTAATGCAGAAGTAAATTTCCATCGATATGTGAACCACAGTTCTCTCCGTGCTATTAAAATGGATCGTTCGGAACTGAGAGCATCAAAGGGAACGTACACACGCGTACGTATGTGTGCGTGCGTGCGTTCTCGCAGATTCCTGCAAACGTCGCCGTCGGATTAGACAATCTCTGGGAATTAATTTCCATAGACCACGAAAGTAGTATTCGTTACCGTTTCTAGCAGTATCCGCGAATTTTCGGTGCTTCGCGAGGGAGAGAGAGGACGTCCTTCCCGATTACATCCTTCCGCGTACGCGTACGTGTCGCACGCGCGCCTCTCGTAACGCACGTATATACGGCTTCACCTTCGTCGGATGCGATACGAAACAGCGGTGTGCGACGTGCTCCAAGATACGAGCGCGTTTATTATCATCTGATAATCCGCCGGAATTAGGTGAGCTCGCAACTCAACGTTGGCCGTTTTATCGGCCGGATTAACGATGAAATGAAGTATTTGTGGTGTAACCGAGGGATATCTACGTGGATCGGCAGATAATGCGGCGGTTACGTAACCGGTGGCAAAGTTTATTCGATAACTTTTTATCGACGATGTTACCTAATCTATCTGCCTTGACAAAAATCGGTTCGATCGGATGCGCTTTTGTTTTTTTCTCCCCGAATATATATGTATATAACTTGAATATGATACATATAATATATATATATATATATATATATATATAGGTATATATATATATATATATAACTTGAAAAGTTATATAATAGGAAAATACCGATGACGATTAATTATGATATCATGGATTGTCGCTGACGGTTTCACCACTTTCCGGTGGTCAGGAATATATCTTAAACACGTATAGCTTTGTTGATATAATTTTACTATTCAGAACGAATAAATTTGTGAATTTGTATCTTCAATTATATCGAATTAATACAGTTGAATAAAACCGATTTCTCGTGTTATTCACGTTGATTTAGCGAAATAAAAAAGTAACAAACTATCATAGCGTATACGATTTAATTTCAGCTTCAATAGTCGTCCGATTGGCATACTGGATAATCCTGGGATTAAAGCGAGCGCTCGAGAGATAATGCCTGATTCACCTGCCGCGTGTCGATCAATATATTGCTTTTACGTAACGCTAGGATGGCTTAATTTTTTTTTTAATAAAAATTATTTAATTACGATTGGTACAACGCGAGGAATGGTTTACTGCTGTTACGATAGCGCACGCCAGACAAAACCGCGACGGTAGTTTGGACAACATTTTAATTGAATAATTTAATTAAGACTTTCGAGTCTTTCAATTCTCAATTAATCAGATCTTGCATTCAATTAAAATAATCTTTTTTTTATAAAACAACTTGTCGGAAGTGATGTAGAATTATTCTCATTTTCAAATATTTATCTTTTTCTTTTACTCGTTTGTGTCATTTTTCATCTTACTTATCCATTTTTCGAACACGTTTTTACTGTAACACAAGCCTGTCTTGCGCGCTTCCGTGCGTATCACCGAAAACCGCGCGTGTAAATCTCCAGACAAATTTGTCTCGACAGACTAAGAGTCTAGCGAGAGATTTCGTTCGCCGCTACAGCATTTTACACTCGCCACATCCGAGCGCTTTATTTCGCGGGGATAGACAGTAAGCAGACGCGTCACAAACGCATCTGCGTCTTAATCCCACCGTTACGTCTTTAACCGTTCTGATCTACCATGCTATAATATAATTCAAGTTCGATATTAGATCCTAAGGGATTGTAAGAAGCTTTTGACATTTTATTTCATTTTATTTAACAATGCTAAAATTCGTTTAAAATTTTGTAAATATATTATTAAATTAAAAAAAATTTTTTTAATTATCTCTTCTATTTATTCTTACCTATTACTTTTACATACAATTGTTAAATACAAAATGCAAATGTAGAATAATAATAATCGACCGTGTGCAGTCCCTATTAACAAAGTTCTCCGTTCCTAGGATTATAATGAATACCGAGAATATGATTCATTGCCATCTATGCATATTAAGCGCCTTCGTAAATTACTCATTCTTGTTGAATGTTACCGGTCAATGTACCCAGCATCTAATCCCGCGTCGCTGATTACGACGCCGAAGCCAATAAAGCATCGTAATCAAGAGCCCCGTCTCAAACTTCCCCGACGCGGTCCGGCGATGCATTCTTCGTTTCGCCGCAACGAAGCCGGCGTCAGCTATTCCTACGGCGTACACCAGGCACACGCGTATAACGCACACGTACACGCGCTCGCGCGCCACCCGCTACCCGCGTGAGGGAGAAAGACGACGGGGGTGGAAACACGACAGTGGGGTAACGATTGCATCCGCGGATGGCTCTGATGCAATCTGTGTGCAAAGCGGTCTAAAGTTGCAACTCCTATACGACGGAGGGCCATGGGTGGGTACGTCGGCGAACAGGGAGAAGGGAAGAGTGGAACAGGGGTGCCAAGGGAGCGAAGGGGGGACGGTTTCGAGCCGCGGGTGGAAGAAGGACCGCGCGCCCTAGGTCGCGTCTCGGAACGGCGGGAGGGCCGCGCGGGGGTTAACGTTGTCGGGCGCGGTGGCCCTTGGCAGGGTGGTTTGCCAGGGTCGACAAAGCACCGGATGGTAAAGCCCTGTTCCCTGGGCGTGCACCCCCGAGCTTGCGGGCGGAGCTTGAATGGCACGCCTACCCCTGGAGCTTTCGTGTCGAACCACGAAGACCGGCGCGTTCGTCCTACGTCCAGGACGGTGTATATCCCCCACCTTGGATGCCTTCCTCGTTTCGGCTCTCTCTCTTTCCATCCGGAGCTTTTTCGAGGTAAGGACGCGAGCCTCGCCACCTTACGACGGGCACACGGACGTCGCACACTTCCGCGGGACGTGTACGCGTTTATCCGAGGTGTGGGAGGGTGGACTGGTGGAAAGAGGGAGAGAGAACTGCGACGGAGAAGCGGTCTAGGCGGGCTGGCTCGCTACGAGAAAAGCCGGGTTTTCTCCGAGAGGGGCGATAAAGGAGAACACAGCGGGAGGGAGGACTAAGAAGCGCAGGAGAGGGA